CCCATTGTACCACATCATGACTTTGCTGTATAAGTTATCCCTGACAGAGGGCTTCAGTGGCAACCCACTCGAGGCCCTTCCTGTCTTTCAGGAGCTATTTCTATTCCCTTGCAAACCTTTCCTACTCTTAACCTCTTTTCTCCTTTGGAATTTATTCTTCAGTTTTAGGGGATACGAACTGGGCAGGTTGGTATTACTATTCTCCTATCAGATGGGGCACAAATCACCATCTCCCTGTGTTTAGGTGTGAGAGGGCCTTTTGAGTTTTCAGCTTGGGTAATTGAACTCCAGGCCTTTACACTGAGCTATATCTTGGGCCTATATATTTTGTTTGTTTGTTTGTTTTTTGTTTTTGAGACATGCTCCCTAACTCATTAAATCATCTATGCTGGCTCAAACTTGTAATCTTTCTGCGTCAGCTTCCCAGAGTGCTGTAATCATATTCCTTCCAGGAATGTCCAGCTGCCAGGATCTGTAATGGCAAGGAGTACAGGAGAGGGAATGAAATGAGATGATGGACAGCTGCAGTCTTGCTTCATCTTACCCATTCATTTTTCACTCTCTCCTTCTGCTATGGAAACAAAGCTGGACATGGGCCTTCTAGAGCTCGCATCTGATGTGAAGAGGGAGTGGTGGTCACACCCTTGGCCTGAGAAAGTTTGGAGAAGCCACTTGTCTCTAAAGAAAAAAATTATTCTGGTTGGGGAGGTAGCACAGTGGTTTAAGCATCTGCCTGGCAAGCATAAGGACCCAGGTTTGATCCCAGGTGCCACATGCTGTGTTGGGGGTGTGGTGGCACAGGCCTGTAATCCCAGGACTGGGGAGGCTGAGACAGGAGACTCCTAACTAGGAGTCTGAGCTGTGTAGTGAGACCTTGTGGGAAAGAAAAAGAAAGTTCTAACTTTTAAAGTTCCACTTTGACCTGTCTATGTGCAGCCCCCGCCCCCTGGCTTCCATTCTTGGTCTCCAATCATATCATTCTTTCATACTTCCATTGACTTTTCCCTCTGTAGCATGAAACCGAAGATTTTCCTCTTTCTTTCAATTCACCAATCCTTGCTTCAACCATGGCCTGGTTTTTAAAGCATTTACTTCATTTTTAATTCTTATTTTTTTAATTTTAGGAATACTGTTTTGTTCCTTAAGAGGTAACCTTCCACCAGGTTTAGTGTCATGTGCCTGTAGTTCCAGCTATTCAGGAGGCTGAAGCATGGTGATCACAAGTGTGTGTGATTCCAGCCTGGGCAACTTAGTCAGACCCTGTCTCTAAATAAATAAATAAATAAAAGTAAGAAAGGCTGAGATGTGGCTCAGTGGTAGAGTGCTCACCTAGTATGTGTGAGGCTCAGGGTTCAATTCCCAATAAAATAACATGTATTTTTTTCCTGAAGGCAGGCTAATCAAAATTATTTCATGGGCTGGCGAGATAGCTCAGTGGACTAAGGACTTGCTTAGGCAAGCGCAGGGACCAGGGTTTGATCCCCTAGCACCACAGGCCATGCTGGCCCCACCCCCATGCACACTGAGTAAGCACCGAGACCAGGAGTGGTGGCGCATGACTGTAATCCCAGTGCTAGGGAGGCTGAAAATAGAAAGCTCACTACAAGTTGGAAATGTATAGTGAGATCATGTGTCAAATACATTTTTAAAAATGTTATTTCATGTTTTTGAGATGCTCTTTTTGAGATTATAGCTTAGTTGGTTCAACAGCTCAAGTTTTGATGCCTTTGATTTTTCTTTTTTTTTTTTTTTTTTGCTGTTCTCTTACTCTTGCTGCCTTATTTCTGGTGTGCTTCATGATTTATGAATGTGAGCAGACCTTTTTCCTTATAATGTTGTCTGTGGAAAATTCTTTGAGATCAGAGAAAAATATAGGTTTCTCCATAAATCAAAGGTATTTGATGCTTTCAGGTGCCTCAGGGTAATGCGAGGCGAAGATCACTAAAATTAAGTTGGAACTAGAGACTTTTTGCACTACCCAGGTTGTGGTTTGGGACTTTGCAAGGTGAACAATACAATACAAGGTGCATTTTATCTATTATTTTATAATGGATCAAAGAATCATATACAAAAAGTGCACAAAAGCTGTCCACATAGTAAAGACCAAAGAATCCAGCTGAGGGCCTGGATCCTAATACCCTGCATGAATCCAGCTGAAAACCTAGAGCTTATAACATGCCGCACACAAGTCCAACTGGAGACCCTGAGCCCATGACAAAGTCTCATGCAGGCCCAGTTCATAGATCTGCCCTGGAAAGGCCCAAAGGTCAGTGGTGGAAGGTAGAAAGTCCATGCTAGTGGGATGAAGGATCTGTGCTGGCAGGCTGATGGACCTGAACTGGAGCTAGGAAACACCTCTCAAGGTAAGAACCAGAGCTCCCCCAAAAGTACCACAGCCATCCCAGCAACAGCGAGGTCCTGAGCTCCTCCAGCAATAAAAAAAGCTGAGTTCCCATCAGGAAAGCCAACACAACAAGCTTCTCCACGAGGCTGAGCTGTGCACCATCATCCCCTCCAGAGCTAGGAAGTGATGCTTAAGATGAGGATCAGAGCCCCCTGCAAAAGAAACATAGCCAAGTCTCTAGTTCCAACTTAATGTTAGTGACCTTAGCCTCATATTACCCTGAGGCGCCTGAAAGCATCAAGTATCTTTGATTTAGGGAGAAACCTGTTTTTCTCTGGTCTCAAAGAATTTTCCAGAGACAACACTGTAAGGAAAAAGGGCTGCTCACATTCAGAAATCATGAACACAAGAACAGCCAAGTTCATCAGGAAAGCCAGCATGACAGAACAGCCCAAGAGAAAGCAAGTAGTTTCCAACAGGTTCAGCAGCTCCAACAGCTTCTCCAAACAGCTTCCCAAACAGCTTATCAACAGCTTCTCCTACTTTTTATGCTGCTGGCAACAATCTTCAGGTGGGCCTCCCACACCCAGCACCATGCTGGTTCAATTCAGCTGGGTGTAACAAGTTGACCACCAGTTAGCTATCTGCTACAACCAACATAGGACCAATTCAGCTAAAAGCTAGCATTGAGACTGGCTTATATCTATAAATTCTTGGTGGGAAGCTCCACTACCTCTTTTATTTTAGGGAACGGTCTACAGGGTGTTCAGGGTCTCACTACTAGATCAGACTCGTAGTGATCCACCTGTTTACAGCCTCCCAAGAGCTGGGATTACAGGCGTGCACCACCATGCCCAGTCTCAATTACTGTCTCAGCACACCCTGGGGGTGGGGCCAGCATGGCAGGCCTGAGGATCAAATCCCTGGCCCCTGTGCCTGCTTGCAGGTGCTTTAATTCACTGAGCTATTTGGCCGACCCCTCCACTACCTCTTATAATGCCATATTTCCTCCAAAATAATTTTTCTTTGTGCTCCCTAGTGTCTGAAATTTTATTTATGTAGTTAGACCAAGAGAATACTTCTTTTGAGACCTCAGTTTGTCTAGACCCCCAGAAAGAATGGCTATCATAAAGAAATCAACCAACAACAAATGTTGGAGAGGCTGTGGGGAAAAAGGAACCCTTCTCCACTGATGGTGGGAATGTAGACTGGTGCAACCGTTATGGAAATCAGTGTGGAGACGCCTTAGAAAACTTGGACTGGAAATCCCATTGAAACCAACTATTCCTGTACTGGGAATTTTCCCAGAGGATCTGAAAACATCATATCATAGTGATATATGTGTGCCTATGTTTATAGCAGCACAACTTGTGATAGCCAATTCTTGGAAACAACCAAGATGCCCATCACCTGAGGAATGGATGAAAAAGATGTGGTATTTTTTATACAATCGAGTATTACTCAGCTATAAAGAAAGATAAACTTGAAGCCTTTATGTTTAAGTGGATGCCACTTGAAGATATAAATGAAATAAACCAGTTTGTCTAGACCTTTCCCATCTGACTTGTCAGTTTGGATAAACCCTTGGGCACTGTCCTCTTTCCTTTGCAAGGCTACAAAATTAAAAACAAACCAATACATGTGATAAAGTTACATAAACCTAAGTATATACAAATGAGTATAATAGGAGCTGGGGATGTATCTCAGTAGCATGGCACGGCCTTATCATGCCCAAGACCCTGGGCTCGATCCCCAATACCACAAAAAACAAGTAAACAGCTCGGTGTGATGACACACACTTGTAATCCCAGCACTATGGGATGCTGATGCAGGAGAACTACAAGTTTGAACCCAGCATGAATAGTAGCAAGACTATGTCTGAAACTAAAGATCAAAAAGGACTAAGTAGGGAGAGTTCAGTGCAAATTCTCAGACTCCAGTACTGCAGGGACATAGCTCATCGGTGGCCAAGTGTGAGGTCAGAGTTCCATTGCTGTATCAAAATCAACACACACACACACACACACACACACACACCCCAACAACTAGTGAGTATAGTAAAACTGGGAAGTCTGAGTAGGACTGGTACATTGTAGCCATGGTTATGGTGCTAAGCTCTAGTTTTACAAAATGATGGCATCAGGAGGAATTGAACAAAGGGCAGAAGGATCTCTGTACTATTCCTCATAACTGTATCTTGTGCAATTTTAACCAATAAAAATTTCTCCAAAGAAGGAGATTTAAGAGAAACCATGTAAAATATGTTCTCATTTATGTGAGTTACATGTTTATCTATGTGGTGCAAGAGAGACATAGGAAAAGATAGTCCCCAAAATGGTGAGAATTAGCCAGGCATGGTGGCACACACCTGTAATACCAGCACTTGGGAGGTTGGGGCAGGAGGATGGCTGTGAGTTCCAGACAGCCTGGGCTACAAAGTGAGTTCAAGGCCAGCCTGAACTGCATAGTGAAACCTTGTATCAAGAACACAAAACAAACAAACAAAAAACCCCCAAAAACAAAAAACCAAAAAGTTGAGAATTTACCCAGGTGGTAAATCTTGAGTCAGTACTCTTCTCTGAATCATTGTTAGTTCATTATTCCATTGTTCCTCTTTGCAGTTCCTGTGGCCAGGCCCTGGGTCCTCTGTGAGCACAGTCCCAGGCCCGCAGGAGCACTCAGGTGGGGCAGATGAAGGAGAGGAGCAGGTCCACCTCATTTTGCACAATGAGCTTCACTGGGTGGATGTTGTCCGGCAGAGGCAGGCTGGAGGTCATTTCCCAGGCGTCCACAAAGGCCACGCGGAGACCGGAAAAGGCAGCTCGAAGGAGCCGGTTCACCTGGAGGGTGAACCAGTCGCTGCCATACACAGACTTGTAGCCAGTGTTGGCCAACTTGATGACCACAAGGGTACTGGGTTCCCTGGCCAGCAGGGCCATCACAGCTGCCCGAATCCCTGCCAGGCGTCGCACAAAGATGGTGGGAGGGAAGGTGGTGAAGTGGGCTCCCAAGCCCAGCACCACCACGGTGCGGGGTCCCCCCGCCAGGCCCGCCAGCTCCTTGGCCACAGAGTGCAGGGAGGCCACTGGTGTGCGGAGAGAGCGCAGGGGCCAGCTGTGGGCCCGCCAGTGTAGCACAATGCCCCGTGTCGTGTCCACGGCCATCAGGGGCCCCACCTGATATGTGACATGTAGATCCACCGGCTTCAGGGCTATTGGGAGGGAGACAGATTTCAAAAGTTAACATAGGGATGTGCACACATTAGGACATGGAGATTATCTTCCTAAACACTAGTAGGTCTCTCCATAGAAGATGTCACTTATCTACCAGAAGTCCTTTTCAGTTTGCTTTCTTTTTTCCTTTTTGTGGTGCTGAGGTGCAAACCCAGGGCCTCAAACATACTAGGCAAATGCTCTACCACTGAGTTATGAACAGCCCTATTTGCTTTTATTTTTATTATTTTTTTAATTTTTTAATGTATTTAGTACAGGGTCTACAGGGTCTCACTACACGGATCAGACTCCTAGAGATCCTCCTGTTTCAGCCTCCCAAGACCTGGGATTATAGGTGCGCGCCACCACACCCAGTCTCCTATTGCTTTTAAAGCTATGCAGCACTTGACTTTTGTGTGCTGATTGATGTCTTCTGAAAACTGCTTTCCTTCTAAATTATTCCAGTTTTTTTCTATCTTTCCAGATATTCTTGGCCTAACAACTCGTTCCATGTTTTCCTTGTACATTGTAAATGAAAGCATTCTCTAAAATTCTGTCCCTCATGTCCTTTTCTTTGATCTACCTTAGAGGGACTTGTTCACTTCTAAGAGTGTTCTTTTGTTTCAGAGCTGTCAGTGTCCTGAGCTGTGAGTCCATGCTTCTAGCGTCCAGTTAACATTTTCTAGTATTTCACTATTGCCTTGAAGGCAATATGGACAAAATGAAGCTATAATCTCTACACAAATCTTGCTATTTCCTGGACTTCTCCCATTGCCCCACACCAGTTAGCTATCGTTTCAGTGCCTTTCCTTTCAATGTTTCATCCTTTTAAATTAAAAAAAAGTCTTTTGTTATTTATTTTTGGACTCCTAGTGATCCTCCTGCCTCAGCCTCCCCAGCGCTGGGATGACAGGCATGTGCCACCATGCCTGGTTTCTGGGGCCAACATGGCATGTGGTGCCGGGGATCAAACCTGGGTCCTTGGGCTTACCAGGCAGGCACTTAGACTGCTGAGCTATCTCCTCAGCTCCATCCTTTTTTTCCCTCAGCTCTTCATGGAAAAGCCCTTTGTCAAATCTGCTGTCTCTCTGCGTCTTAAAAGTCAAATCATTCATCAAGTCTTATTCTTTATTTTTAAGGTTTTCAATATTCATTTCTTGCGTCCAACTTTAAGTTTTCAATTACACTCCCATTTCTCTAACAATATTCCACAGCAACAGATTGCAATGACATCCAGCCTACCAGCATTGTTTTGGGTACTTGTGTACATAATGGTTCAAAGGACACTGAAGTCCCTTCCCCTGTGCTTATAGTCTCTTGGGAGAGATAGATGTTCTCTGCTATAGCTAGAAAGTTGGGAGTATGCGGGACTGAAAGATTATTACTGTGCCTAGAACATGGTAAGTGACATGAGATGCACGCAGAGTCAGATCATGCATTACTGTGTAGATTCTGTTCATGGGTTTGATGCTTGTCCCAAGGAAAAGCAGAGTTCATTGAATGTAAGTAACATGATTTCTGTAAGTCCTAGGCAGAGAAGTAGGCAAGAAGTCCTAGCTAGAGCAGTTAAGCAAGGAAGTCTGGTGGTGTATGTCTGTAATCTTGGCATCTGAGAGGCTGAGGCAGGCGGATCTCAAGTCCAAGCCCAGCTAGCGCAATCAGATTAGTACATGTGATTTAGGGGGAGTCTGTCTCAAAGTAAAAAGTTACAAAAATGGTAAGGGATGTAGTTTTAGTTGGAAGGCCCTGGGTTCAATCCTCAATACCTCAAATAATTAATCCATCAATAGATGGTATCAAAATTGAATGGCCAAAAAATTACAACATGGATAAAATACTAGGCCCAAAAGTTAATATTGTAAAAATACAAAAGATTTAAATTATATAT